GAGCGTGGATTACGACCAACCAGTACTTTTTCCAAGTTTACAGGTCGCTCAAGCAAAAGAAGTCACGCTCGAGCGACCCCTCTCATTTTGTATGTCCGCTCGAGCGAGGAAAGCTACGCTCGAGCGGGGACTTCATTTTCAGAAATTTTACCTAAGTGTCCCAATGCATGTTTTGGCATCCTCATTGCATCTTAGACATTCCTAAGCCTTACTTAAGCCATAGTAATGAGGATTAAGGGTTAGAAGCATACTAAGAGCTAACGATATAAGTTATGTACGATTCAAACGTGTGTTTCAAGTGTGTGTTTGTATGTGTGTTCATGTAGGTCACGCGCCTCAGAACAAGTGAAGGGCCGCCTTACCATCTAGTTAGGGCTACCAATCATCTGTGAGTAATAACTTTGTAAAATTATGTTTAATGTTAAGTATTTTCTGAATATTATGATACGGAGTAATTAGTTATCTGAAATGTCATGCTATGTTTGAAATGAATGAATGGTTGTCCAAAATTCTGAAAGTTATTCGTGGCATCCTTAGTATCATATGATATACGTCCCTTTATGGGTCATCAGGTCCCTTTATGGGTCATCAGAAACGTCTCTGTGCACATGAGTCATCAGAATGCCTTGAAGGCCGTCCTTTTATGGGCCATCGGATTTGTTAACGCTAAGGGATGTACCACGTATGATTATATGCAAAATCAGAATATGAAAATAATTACGAATATGTATATGAATCTGTTTCTGATAAGAATTTGATTTCTAACTCTGTGATGGACATCATTTATTAAATCCTTTACTCTGTTATTATTCACTGGGCTTTAGCTCACTGTTTGTATATATATGTATATATAGGTGGGCATTCTGGAGATCGAGCCCGAAGGCTTTTGTCTGGAACTGTGTTTCTGTTGTCAGCCAACCATTGCGCCTCACGTAGAGGTTCCCGAAATGTCCTGTGTTCAGTCCTGTTGATTCTGTATATGTATGAGACTGGATTTGATTATGTTTGTTGTACTTAAGATACTGTAATGTGTGTGGGTATAATGTGTGGTTAACTATAGGATATGTATATATAGTTTTAAATACTCTGTTTCATGTAAGTCAGCACAACTCATTGGACAACTATATTCACGTATTTGCTTTCGCTAGCCCCTAAATTTTGTTAATCTGTACAGAGGTCTTCGGTAATCCAAGGATTACTGGCCGGTTACGATGCTAAACCTATAGGGGCGGGTTTGGGTCGTGACATGACCAGTCTTTGGTAAGTTGCCCCTGCATTCTTCAGCCCAAAAGGCATAACCTTATAGCCATAGGTTCCTCTTGGGGTGAGGATACAATTTTGTCTTGGTCCTCTGGATGCATGGCGATTTGATGGTAGCCTTTGTAAGCATCGAGGAAGCTTATACGCTGATGGCGTGCCGTCGCATCTATAAGTTGGTCAATTCTGGGTAAGGGAAAACAATCCTTAGGGCAGGTTTTGTTTAGGTCCGTGAAATCAACGCACACTCGCCAAGTCCCATTTTTCTTCTTCACAACCACAGTATTAGAGAGCCATGTAGGGTAGGTCACTTCCCTGATTGCCCCGGCATCAAGCAACCTGTCAACCTCCTTAACAACGGCATTAGTGTGCTCTGCGGCTGACCGTTGGCTTTTCTGAATGATCGGCTTGCATTTAGGGTCAACATTCAAACGGTGCTGCGAAACTGACGGATCTACACCCAGCATCTCATATGGAGTCCACGCAGACATCAAGGTTGCCGAGCAGGAAAGAAATAAGCTACTGCATGTCGGTTTGATTTAGGGAGGCGCTGACCATGAAGAACCTGTTTGGGTTGCCGTCAATCTCAACTCGATCTAGGGCTTTCGTGGCCTTTTCACTTGGGAGCCGCCCAACATCGTTGAGGCTCTCTCGATCCGGCACCTCAATTTAATTCACTTGCAACTCTTTTGGTGTCTTTCCAACAAGGAGATAACATGTTTGTGCTGATTTCTGAGAGCCACGGATTTGCTCAATGCCACATTTTGTCGGGAAGCGTAATAGCTGATGATAGGTGTTTGGCACGACCTGAATAATATGCAACCAAGTTCGCCCCATGATGAGATTGTACGGCGATGGCAGCTTGACAACCAAGAATTCCACATCCACTATTCGGGAGCCCGCTCAAACGGGTAGTGTGATCTTCCCCAACGGGTATTCTAGATTCGCGTTGAAGTCGAATAATGGGTAAGGAGCTGGAGAAAGATCCGATTCGGAGAAGCCGAGTTTGGTGAAAGTCTTGTAATACATAACTTCCGATATGCTCCCCGAGTCAATGAGTATGCGTTCAACGGTGAATCGATTTACGCGTAACTCGATTATCAAGGGATTGATGTGTAGAATTGTCACTCAGGCCAAATCTGAATCATTGAAAGCAATGCTCGCAGCTTCATGGGGCCGTTTAGCTGGAGTGAGTTGATTTTGAGGGTCGGGATTCGATTGAATCATATGCACCGTGGATGACATTGGTAGGCTGTAAATCATGTGGATCACGCCGAGTGGAGGTGAATCCTGTCGTAAGGCTATTGCTTTGGTTGAGTTGTCTTTTCGGACATATTGTTGTAGCCGACCATCTTGTACCAGTTCCTCCAGGTGATCCTTCAATGCATAACAACTCTCGGTATCATGACCATGATCCATGTGATATTCGCACTGTCTATCCCGTTTTCTCATTTCAGGAGGTCCAACCATTTTGGACGGCCATTTAAAGAACGGAAGGTGTTGGACTTTGGCCATGATCGTGCTGATCGGCTCTGACAAATCCGTGTATTTCTTGTCGGCGCGCCTTATGCACCTGCCATCGACTTGCAGTTGTTCATTTGCTCAATGGGGGCATTGGTCGCTTGATCGGCGAGAATCCCGTCTCTTGTCTCTTTTAGCCTGATGCCGTGGTTCAGGGCTCTAAGGTGGTACAGAATTTATCGGCTGAGCAATTTCAGAAGGGGCCGTCTTGTTGGCCACATTTTCGATTTTAACCCGCAAGGCGTTATCCTCCACTTTGCAGTATTTCTCAACCTTCTTCATTAACGACCAGACTATTTTAGGGAGCCGTTTGGTCAAAGAGCTGCGGAGGGCACTGTCGGGATGTAATCCCATCTTAAAGGCAGTAATGGCCATGGAGTCATTGCAAGCATCGTCCATCAGATTAAAACACTCTTAATATCGCGCCGAATACGCATGAAGGGTTTCCCCGATTGAATCTGCATTGCCCAGAGGGAATCGGCTTGCTTTGGCTGGACCTCATTAGTGATAAACCTTGCCCTGAAGGATTTTTAGAGTTGGTGGAAGCTCTTGATCGAAGCCGGCTCCAATTTATAATACCACCTGACAGCCAGTGGTCCCAAATTGCTCGGAAATATTCTGCACATGAGAGTCTCGTCGTCTGCATGCAGCGTCATGGCTTGCTTGTAATGGCGGATGTGATCGGTGGGGTCTGATTTACCGTCATACAAGGTGAATGACAGTGCTTTGAATTTCTTAAGTAGCATTGCCCTTGCAATCCGTCGTACAAAGGGATCGTGCTGGTCTTCTTCGTCTGAACTATTTCTTCTTCGCTTATGCCTTATACGTGGACTCTCTTCAGAGGAACTGGTAGTTTTGGGTTGTCCTTTCTTCTTGGGCTCCGGGGATAATGAGTCGGAGTCGCTATCAGTGTCTTGTTGTCGGGCTCAAGGTCGTCGACCACCTGCCCTCAGAGGTCGTTCCGGATCTTGGCGTACAGCTTGTTTGGACTTTGCCACTTCTAAGGCCAAATCCTGACGAAGACGTTCATTCTGAGTGATCATGTTTTCCAACCTCCGTTCGTTTTACTTTGTTTGTTCCATGATCGCTTGCATTGTCTCATGTGCTAAAGTCGAGGGTGAGGTGAAGTTCAAGGCGCGTCTTGCGGCGATAGTCTCCGATCCAATCATGTTTGTTGGAGTGCGGTCGTCTCTGTGTGTGGTATCGTCAGTGACTATCAGAGGGTCTTCCGTTACGCTCGCCATGGATGTATTTGAGTATTCCCACAGACGGTGCCATTTGTGGGGAAGGTGGTTTGGAAATACTCTTCAGATCCTGGGAGACGCTCGTGATCCTCAGCTAGTCACCTGAAAAGGGATGAACACTCTGGTCGAGGGTGCCAGAATTTGCACACTGACGGATAAGTCAGTGTATACTCTCTTGATTGCTTGTATCTTAAGTTAGACATACTAGTTCTCACATACCTCTTTCTGTCCGACGTTCTTTTATTTATATCTTTTCTTTCCTGGGCCTCGGGGTTGGGCCCACTTCCAATTCGCCGTATAATTACTTATTCGGCTCCTCTTGCTGCAAAACAGCTTTCCACTCGGCCCCTCAATCAACCAGCTATTTGGCCGAATAGGGCCGAATGCGATGTATATATTTCAACTCTCCTGGTTCATCTATTCGGCCTATTTACGTCTCTCAATATTTCGGCCCCCACAATCTTATATATAATAGTTAGTGATTGATTTATTGTATAATACAAAGTTATTAATTAATAAAATAAAATGTAAAAAACTCTATTTATAGTGATTTAAAAATATGAAATATATTGAATCATACTTAAAAATTTATAAAAATTGATCAATATTTATTTTAAACCCAATAAATATGATTATGGAAAAAAAAAATATACGTATCGGTAAATTTTTTTCAAATTGTGCGAAAAATAAAAAAATTCATGGTTTTGGTTACCGCAACCGTTACGTTACGACCTTTACACCCCGCAACCGCAACCGCGCCACTGCCACCGTTACCGCCACCTCAACTGCTTTTCAGAACCTTGTTCTATGTGCATTGATAAACCTCATCTTAGACTTGTTCAAATTGCTCTGCTTCTTGGGGTTGTTTGGGATGATTTACATAAGTGCACTTTTTAATTTTTTATGAAATATGGGTTAAGTTTGGGTTGGATTTGAAGTGATGTATTAGAGAGGTGATGTGACTTAAATAAGATGATATGACTTAAATAGGATAGTGACTTTTTAATTTTTTGACTTTTTTTAAACAAGCCAAATCAACCCTAAATGTCACTTATAAAATTATGCTACAAAGAAAACTCTCTCACTCACTCACTCTCAGTTCCTACATCTAATATCAGATGATACAAGTAAACATTAAAATTTCTATACAATTTATACTCTTCTCTTCAATGTTTACTTGAACCCTATCAAATTTCTTGTTTCTTCTCTTTTTACTGACATTCCATCAATACAGTAGTGTTGATCTCCAATTCTTCTTAAACCGGTCATAAGCAGGCCTAGTTCTCAAAAACAAAAGCACACTCGAAGCAAGCCCAATAACAGAAATGCATCCCCACCACACGAACGTTAAGAAATAGCATTTTCGCCCCATGCACACGACAGAGTCAGATACCACGCTCCCAATGCTTGGCCTCGCGTTGGAATCGTAAACAAGGGCTGCAAGTAGTCCATATACGAGCGATCCAACGGGTATGTTGGTTATGAGGATGTTGTGGTTGACGCCAACATTGTTGGGACCAAACAACTCGGATGTTATTGAAACTGCTGCAGCAAATATGAAGCCCGAGCTAAGGCCAATTAGCATGGTGCCTGTTTGTAGTGCTATGGTATTGCTTGATGCAGCGAGCAAGAAGAAGGCGATTGGGGTTGGGACTAGTCCGATGGCTAGCCAACCAGTCCTCGCAAAATAGACCTTCCTGTCACCCAAAAAAAATATAGTGAGTTTTATTGCACATTTTGCAGTATAGTCTTTCTTTTCATGGAGTTTTGTTTACCTCCACAAGCACAATGATCTTTGCATTTGTCATTGTTCTTATTGCTTCACCAACATTTTAGATTACAGTAAATCCAGTGATGGTATTTAAAGTATGTGTTTTGTGTTTCTTTGTCTCTACAAGTTTTAATTTTGTTAATTTTATTTCTAAAATTTTCAATTTGAGTTAAATTTGTCTAATTTTTAGATTGTCATCTAAATCATTAATGAAAAATAATTTTAAAAACAAAATTATGATCTCTAAAGTGCACATTTTGTGCCACATTAGTTCCAAATTTTAATTTAGTCAATTCCACGGTTAAATGTTGTAATACTATACTTGGCCTTTTCATCAATGTTTAGGGACAAAATTGATTAAAAAAAATGAAAAAATGGGATACTAAAATGAAATAGAAAGGATATTTTAGAGACCATAACTATATTTTATTATCATTCTATTCATGATTTAGATGTCCCCAATTTGAGTCAAAATCAAAAAATTTAGAGATAAAATTGACCGATTTAAATCATGTACTGCCAATGTGACACTAAAAACAAATAAGCTAGTGATTTTATGATCCTATAGATTTTCACTATATGCCATTAGACATCACTATAATGTTCCATACTGCTCTGCCGTTCAACAAAAAAATACTAAAAATCCCAAGAAAGTTGGATTACTTACACACGCATGAAGTCCGGTGCAGCGGAAAGCAATCGGCCGAAGAAGGAGAAAGAAGAATAGAGAGTGATTAAAGTTGGTGTCTCTGAACCTTGTCCAAGTGACTGAGCTATCTGGCCAAGATTGTTACTATAAACAAGCCCAATTGTCCCTCCACAAAAGTATGCAACATAGTATAGCCAAAAATCCAATCGACTAACAAGCATCCGTGCCTTATGCTCTTCCCCAAGCATCAGCAGCCGATCCCTCTCCATCATCTTCGCACAACACCCTTCGCTTACCCCCGTGTTTTGTCCTGTAACCGCGTAAGGTGGCCCATCCTCATCTCCAATCGTCTCCCGGGTTATGAGCTCTTTATGAAGCTCAAGCTCATCGGCATCTACCAAAATGAAGCCCGAGCCATCAAGGCGAAAGCTAGAGTGGATTGCACGATGAAACCAATCACGCGCGTAGACAATGCCAGGGATGCCTAGGGGGAGGATGAGGAGGGAAATGGCTCCGCCAAAGAGAAGGCGGGAGGTTGAGGAGTCGGTTGGCATGATGAAAAGGAGGTAGAGGCCGGTGATGACTGCGAAGACATTGAGGAGGAGGAAAATGAGGGAGTCGCGATGAATAGCATCAGGAGGGAGGGGGGTGAGAGGGGGTTGGCAGAGAATGGGGACGAGGGACACGAGGGAGGTGATGAGGGGGATGGCAGCGTTGAGGAGAAGGTAGAGGGCGTTGGAGGAGGGATCGATGGCTTTGGCAGCGAGGGTGTATAAGGCGGCGCTTACGCCATTGAAGCTAACGGTGAGGGAGATTGCGAGGGGGCGGTTGGCGGGGAAGTTTCGGTTGCATAGAACAAAGCAGACGGTGTTGAACCAACATATGCTGCAGCCAGCTAGTAAACATACGAGGAAAACCTGTCAAGAGTTACATAACCAAACATTGTTACTCATAATTAGAGGAAAGCAAAAAAAAAGGAGGCTATGAAGAGTACTTTGTACAGCTCTGTTTGTGTTGAATGATGTATGTTTGAAGAAGGAATGAGAATGTGGTGATGAAAATTGTTGAAAAATGTGATCTAGAGATAGTGTCATTCTTATAAAAAGATCAAAAGACACAATATTGATCAAAGAGTGAAGAAGATATGAATGGACTTGGTTTAAAACTAGTTTTGAGATTTGATAAGGTGACTAAGTTAAGTTTGAATATATTTTAAAATTTATAAAATTTTTAAACTAAATTTTATGGGCTCATGGGCTTATCATGGACCCACCGTGGGCCCAATATGATTATAAGGTTATGTGTATAGTTCATCAATATTAAAACCAAACTAATTCGATAATAATAGGCACATGATTTTATTACATTTGTCATAAATAAAAAATAAAAAAATAGATGACAAATATGATTATAATTACGATTACATATGAATATGTGTTTTTTTTTTTTTCCCCATAAATAGTGTATACAACTAAACTTGCAAATGGAATCAAACAGATTATCAAATTGAGGCCCCTTGATAGGTCCATGCACCCAAGTGAACTAGAGTGAAACTATATTCTTATATTTTCATAATGAATCTCATTTTTTAAATATCAAAATCTGATTACTACATACTATATAAATTTAAAAATTAATTAATTTATATGTACGTTTAAAGAAGTCAGCCCAAACAAAAGCTATGGCAGCCTGGCATATAAATTAGCAGACCAAAACAAAAAAAAAAGTCCATTTTGATTGGCCTCCCTAAATTGTGTGTTCATTCATAAGAGGTCAAATGGTCAGATGACTTAAACAAGTAAGGCCCACTTTGGGCTGACCCAATCTGCCCAGGTGGGCTTCTTGTGTCCTTTCGGCCAACCCTTTTACCTTGTAATGTTTCTACAAACCCTATATTTGTAATTAACAACCATAAAGAATCAATGACAATCCGAAAGGCTTTCAAAATACATTAATGCCCTAAAAAAAGTAAAGTATAAATAATTAATAAACAATATTAGTGGTGAAATAGGAAAATTGACCATAGATTATGGTTTTATTTTGTTAATTTTTTTTAGTTTGAGATAAATGAGAGATTTATAGGAAATTTTAAGAATTTTATAAAAACTTGTAAAATTTTAAATAAAGAATAAATGAAGAGAGAGGGTGACTACTCCATAAATGTTTAGGGTCTGTTTGGTAACAATTCCGTTTTTAGTTTATATTTATAAAAATTTAAAAAACCGTCATAAAAACTTATTTGATATTTTTTTTAGTTTATAAATGGTTGTCTCAGTTTATAAATTTGAGGAAAAAACGTAAACTCAAAAAATGAGTTTACGTTTTCAGTTTTCAATTTTTTTTTTCAAATAATTATTTTTTTAATTAAATTTTTTTCATTTTATTTCAAATAATTTTTTTTCCAATTAATTTTTTTTTCAAATATTTTTTTCAAATTAATTTTTTTTTTCAATTATTTTTTTATTTTAATTAATTTTTTTCAATTATAATGTGTGTGATTCTATTGTCATAAATAATAAAAATAAATATAAATATTTTAGGCCTGAACAAACATATTTTTTAGTTTATATTTTTAAATTTTTTATAAACATTTTGTTCAAACCAAACGAGTTTGTAATTTATGTTTTTCTAAAAATAAACAAAAATCAGTTTATAAAATTTTTGTAAAAATAAACGAAAAACGTAAACGTTATCAAACGTTACCTTATCTTCCTAAAATTTATTTAAATTTAAAAAAAAAAAACATTTATGGTCAAATGAAAAGGTAAAAGAGGGCAATGAATAACGGCTTTGAAATGAGAATATAAAAAGTTGAAAAATATAATATAAACTAATAAATTTTAGGGGCTTTTGTTTTAAGATCTCTTGTATTAAGATTTTATAGTATAAATGACATCTAATGTTTTCATAATGTCTAAGGTCCCTCTAGTTGATCTAGAGAAAATTGGTCCAGAGAAAATTAGTCCAGAGAAATTCTGGTCCAGAGAAATTCTCTAAGTTGAAAATGTTGAGAATAGATTTATGACAATTCTAGGAAGCAAATGATCATGAAAGGCAAAGCTTGTGATTCAACATTAGGGGGTGGTTTGGAGATGCAACATGACATAGAGGTTGACGATGGAAAATTCTCAAAACCACAGAAATTTCCCTTTACAACCCAGAGAAAATTGAGAAATAGATAATTCCTTTCATGATGATTTTAATACCTTTCAGAGAAAATTTCCCTTTAACATGATCATCTAAATACTATAGATGATTTTAATTGAAAAATAGATTGATTGACAGTTTCGCATCACAATATGACAATTCCTTTCATTAGGGAAAAAATTTGATAAACGGACAAAACAACCTTGGTCACCCATAACCAACATAGCTCAAGACCATCTCTTTTCAATCCTCCTACTCTTACCCATAGATTCAATCCTCTCTTTTGCCATGACTTGTAACAGATTCAGGTCTTTCACTTACTCTAATTCCCTCTGGGAATCCATCTACAGGAAGGATTGGGGTTCCACTTCTGTTGATGCTATCAAATCTGCTTGAGGACTTGTGCAATCTGATATGCTCATAGAAGATCAACCAAGAGAAATTTCAATTCAACCCATAGAATTTCTCTAGACCAATTCAGAGAAAATTCAGTTTAAATCGAGAATTTCTCTTGACCAACTCAGAGAAATTTCAGTTCAAACCAGGCAGATCAGAGAAATTTTCTGGATTGAAACCAGAGAAATTCTCTCTATTTGCAGCAGAATTATATTTTTATGAACAGACCTTGGTGATTGTACATTGATCCAGGAAATTTATCTGACTTCACAAATTTCTCTGACTTCGAATAAACCAGCTTCACTTTGACTCACCCAATACAGCAAGTGACTCACCCAATACTGCAACAGCCGTGCTTGTATGAAGTCTCCCATCAGGTTGATAGTTTGGCAAAGAGATCTCCCTAAACACCTCTTGGCCCATATCAAATGCCACAATCAAGATCCCAAAACCATGCTCCTTTGCTGGCTCAAATGCAACCCAATGAACAGTCCCATTCACAAACACAGACAAGATATTTATAGAAAGTTCAAAACCCATAGTAATTTCATATTCAAGTTTTTGCTGCACAAATCTTCTCCTCACACCCAAACCCTTCTCTTCTCTCTCCTCTTCCCCAAACCCCTCTGACTCCGAACCCACCTCTCTCTCAGCTCGTAATCTTCTTTGACATTAGATGCCCAATTTCAAAACCCTTCCTCATCAGACGCCGACGCCGACGCCGACGCCGGTGGAGTGTCTGCTCCTCCGAAGAAGAGCAGCTGGTCTATGCATGTGTATATATTTTTCAAATCTGACACTGTAGAGAGAGAGAGAGAGTTGATCAGAAACTTGCTGCCATGGTTGCGCGTGGTGTTGAGGTTGGTGTTGGTCGATGCTTCGCAGTGGTGCTGGCTCAGTGCAGAGGGAGAGAGAGTTGTTTGTCCATAGCTTCCGATGGTAGCTCTTCGTTTAGATCGGGCACGGAAGGAGAGACAAAGAGGGGATATGTTTAGGGACCTTAGACATCAAAAAATAATTTTATGGATCTCTTCTATTACGAAAAGTGGGAGAGGGACCCTACACTAATTTTTTCTAAATTTTATAAATTTCTCTTACTAATATATATATATATTTTAATGATATTATTGACAAGAAAAATTTAAAAGCTATGTCATGCATTAATCATTCATTAGTCATGAATCTGGAGGAACACAAGTCTGTTAATTTACATTTAATAGATAGGAAATGTCTTATCTCCAATTGAAATTTTAACTGGAGCAAATAGTTGAAATCTCTAATCGATAAGAATCTGTTTGTGAGCAGTAATAATTATTAAACAAAAGATTGTTACCAGTAAGAGTTTTTCAAAAAATTCAACTGGATTATGTTTTCATAAATTTTTATTAGTAAGCGTCTTCTTTTTAATGATTCTTACCAGTCATAGATTGATTTTTGCATGTTAAAAATCTCAACTGTCTAGTCTAGTTCAACTATCAACTGAAAACAAGCCAAATTTTAATATATATATATATATATATTCAAAGGGCACCAAAACAGATCAAATGAAATCTCATTGTTGGACAGAAAGTAGAGAAACTCCATAGACAACACGGGCCAAAATATAGGTGGTTTATACTTATTCAACAATCAACATACAAACATACAAACAAAAAAGTTTGCAATTAAGGCCAAGTTTGGGGAGACTAAAAAAGTGCACTTTTTGTCTTTTTGGACTAAAAAATTGAGGTTGAAAATATGGATGTTTGGGTTAACTTTTTGACTTTTTATTGAGAGTCAAGATTGCAGGTTAAAAAAAAAACATATAAAATAACAAAAATAACAAACAAACAAATCACCAAATAATATGTATATATATATATATATATATTTAGACTAGAAAGTGAAATGATTAGATTGATATTAGAAGTTAAAATAGTTCAATATGATCAAAAACTGTTCCAAACAGTTACAATGTGAGCCTGTTACAGCATAAGCCAGTTTCGTCTACACCATTGTAACTGTTTGACTTATAAAAGTATATAACATAAAATACAAAACAAAAATGATATACAAATTAAAGTTTAAATTCTCCATATTAAGCCTTGTAAATTGAAACCCAAAAATCATTTCTCTTCCATACAATGCTAGAGATATGATCATGATTCATAACATTCAAAATCACCAAAAATAGGCACATATAATATCCAGAGAGAGAGAGAGAGAGAGAGCTAACCACAAAATAAGGCAAGACAATGATATTCCTTATGACAAGCCACTGAACTCCATAACCAAAGAGACCCATGAAAGCAGCAATGAACATGACAACCCACAAGGGTAAACAGAGAGAAGCGAGTCCCGAAGACCACCCGAACGCCTTGCCGAGATCAGAAGCTACTGCAAGGTAGTTAAGCTGAACCTGAGATATCCCCAACACCTTCTTCAACTCCGACGAGTACGCCGAGAAGTCGAAGTTGGTCCCCGTAAAGGCCTGGATCCATATAGTGGCCACCAGTATCATCCACTTTCTCGACTGCCCCGCCATGAACCACCGCTGAAACGCCGTGCACGGCGGAGTCCGATGACAGTTGTGGAGGTGGAGGGGTTTTGGTGGTGGAGGTTGTTTTGTTGATGAGGTTGCGTTTGTATGAGGCTCTTCCTCTACGTGGCCTCATTTATAAACGGTCACTCAATTTTCATTATTACAGTGAAGACAAAAGAATGTACATTTTGCTAGCCCCACTGCCCTTTTCCTTTTTTTTCTTTTCTTTCTTTTTAAAATTTTCTTGGGAAAATTAGAACGTGAGGTGTGGGTTGATATATATCCAAAAACAGACATTAAGAAAAATAATATAAAAATCACTTTTTAAATTCCATAGAAAAGAGATAATTGACTGATGATTAAAGAAGATATGTAAAAATAGAAAAAATTGTCTCAAATATTCTAATAATCTGACATATCACTAGATTTGAAAAATATGTGTAACTTTTAGATTAGAGTACCATCATTTTAAAATTAAAGATTAATTACATTAAGATGGACTCAATTATTAATAAATACCAGGTTATGAACTTATATATCATTACAACATGTAAGATTTAAAGTATCAATTTTTTTTGGCCTCAAAAGGGAAAAAATTGTTACAAAAAATATTTAGGAATTAATTATTGTAGTCTCAAGGATCGTCAAGTCATTTTGAAAAGTTTAAAATATATATATATAGCAATAATTTTAAAAATTTGACTAATAAATGCATTTTAAACTGTATTTGGTTTATGAATTTGGTAGGAATTTGAAAAAAGAAAGAGAAATGTGTGTGAATTATAATTATATTTATTCAAATTTTACCTATATTTTTCTTTTTTCTTTTTAAATCTCTATACAAATTTATGAACCAACCACAGTATTAGAGACAAAATTGGTGCCAAAAAGTTTTTTTTAAGACAAAAATTTTAGTCATAAAAATAGTTTTTCATCACTAAATATCTAATTTCGTCGCTAAAAATATAACAATGTCACTTTTCACAATTAAAATATTTCATCTTTAAAAAATATTTTTGTCTCTAAAACCTTAAGTTGTTATAATGGATGCGGACTCCTCAATTATAAGACCCGTCTCGAAATGAGCATTTGTAAGATTTTTTATAATTGAAGGAGTTAAAATATACTAGTACATAAATAAAATAATTAGTAGATATTTGTTAATTGTTGAAAGGTCTTACTAATGTCTATCCTAAGAGGCATCACTAAAATACATAATATTGAAATATTTATAATCTTAATATATTTTTTACATTCAAAAATACTTTTACACATTTCTATACAAATTTTTATAAATATTTTAATACATTTTTTAACACTGGCTTAGACTGTTTTTAGCATTTGTAAATTAATAAAGAATGTTGTGGCAAATACTGATTTAGTCATTTCAAAACAAAACAAAAAAAAATCCATAAAGATGTCTTATACTTTTAAAAATAGGAAAATGTTAAAAAGTGTTCTAAGAGATGTTGTTTGTATTGAAAAACCCCCTAAAACGTATATTAAAATGAATTAAAATGTGTAAAAGTGTTTTAAGATATATGAAAATATGTCAAAATTATAAATTTTTTGACCTTTTATAATGCTTAACAAGGCTCTAAATTAGAGTAAGGTAGGTGTCTCAATTGTTACGGGCCCATGTTCATTATTAAGGTCTCTTTTAAAAAGTGACTTATAAGTTAGTTTTTTAATTTTTCTTAATTTATTTAAGTCGTATTACCTCTCTACTTTTTTATGTCTTTTAGCAATAAATAAAAAAATCAACTTATTTACTTCTGAAAACAACTCTAAGATTCGAGCCCTAACATCCCTATACCCCCTCCCCCACATATAGATAATGATATTGATGTTCTATGCACACAAAAAAAACAAAAACTAAATTAATATTAATGCTAGGTCATTCTTGTTAATTTTATATTCTGTGGGCATATTATTTTTCCCAAAAAAAAAAAAAATGGCTAATGGATTGATACCCAAAATCGTATAAAAAATTGTAACTAGGTAAGTAGGACAAAATAAAAAAGAAATGCGTAATCAACAATGGAGCTTAGCTTTAGCTGGCCAACGTACCACATTTGCAAAAACCCTGTTCAATCATCGGGTTAATATATCTATCTTAAAAATAAAATTAAAAATAAAAAATCAATAGGTTAATATAGCAATTTTGTGTTGGCTTTTTTACCCAAATGGAAGTTAAAAAAAATAAAATAATAAAAAAAAACTTTGTCTTAGGAAAATCACATTCACGTGTGTTTTGGCACATTTCTAATTGTTTGAATTTTTTTAACGACTTACTTTAGGTAATTTTGATTAACAAACATGCTGTTTTTCCCCTTTTTTAAAAAAAAAAAAATCCAAAATGATCAATGTATTATTTATAAAATGTCTGATTATGCAAAATGATTAATTATAATGTATAAAATGATAAACATGTCAATGCTATATAAATAAGGAAAATTGATAAATAAATTGGGTTGAGCTTCTCTCTTGTTGTCCAAACCCGTGAGAGTGAATATTGTATAACTTTTTATGTATATCATTCACGAACAATAAAAATAAAAATTGATTCAATAATCGTAACCTATTTTAAAATATTGACTTTGCCACCAAAATAATGAATTATCTATTTTAAAAAAGTACCCTTGTCATCTTTAAATGTTATCATTTAATTTATATTGAAATGATGTCAAATATAAATTTGGATAAATTATAAATACATCCATTGAGATTTGCTTAAAATATGATTTGTCCTCTTGTAATTTTGGAAATTAAATCTCGTCCTTTTAAATTTCTAATTTCATGACAAATTACCTATTTACAATTAATAGTTTTTAATAATGTTAGAAATTTATTTCAATTAATAATTCAGGTAATTTTATCATTATATAAGAGAACAGTTACGAATTTTATTTTTTTCAGTTAATTCTGTTAAATAAAAAATTCTGACAATAAAATATTTATAATTTTTTAAATCATATAAGATAATTGGTATTTTAAACAAATTTTAAAAAGTGCATTTACAATTTACCCTCTAAATTTTTAAATAAAAAACATAAAGTGGCAACCACACTACACTCTTTTTGGTGGTTTAATAAAATATGGATTGATTTATGATTATACGAAGGCCTTGTTTGGGGATGGTATGTTTTAGTCAAAAAGTCATTATAAGTTGTCACATCATTTTCTTTATTTTTCTACACATATTTTTGTAAAAAATTAAAAAGTCACTAAAATAAAAAAATAAAAGTATGTGCAAATGTTCAAATTGCCTATCATTTTGGTTCACGTGCAGCACGTTACGAAGGTAGCACCGGAATAACAAGACAACCTGGGTTCACTATTGACACAGCGTTGTAATGGAATGAATGACTAGATATCGTTCTAGTAGACGACGGGGAAGATATCGTTCTTTGGACGGTAACAACTCGAATTCACAAGCAAAGATAAACAACCTTGCACACAAGGCAAATGGAGAGAACTCTGGTTATATTCTTAAAAAAACTCTTTTCTTTTTTTCTATCTTTTTGCCACAGGGCTTACAAACATATTCATACTAACTACTAGATACTCAAACTGTGAATTTCCTAATACAGAAATAAATACTAAAGCACTCCCTTAAACTCTTGTACTAAATACAATGTATCAAATACAAAGAACCTAACCTTTAGACCTTGAAGAGTTTGAAAGACATGAATACAAGCCAATGTATTAATGAATACAAGGAATGAAATGTATCCAATGTATCCATTAATTAATTTTCCTTCGAACTTGAACCTGTTCTGCATCAGTCTCTCCTTCTTTGAAAGAACTCGTCCTCGAGTTAACTAGAGGAATTGGGATATCTGGAGTCGTATGATACGCAAATAAGTCTTGGACATTGAAAGTTTTGGAGATGGCTAAATCTTCTAGAAGATCCACCACATAAGCATTATCATTGATCTTTTTCAAAATGTGGACAGGACCAATCTTCTTCTATTTAAGCTTACTGTATGTGCCCACTAGATACCTCTCTTTGCGCAAGTGAACCATTATCATATCACCAACTTCAAAAGTCTTCACTCGTCGATGTACATCTGTGGCGACTTTATACTTCGCAGCTGATTCTTCCAATTTCTTTCGAACATCTGCATGAATGTTGGCCACCTTTTCCACCATATGATCAGCAATGATACTCATTCCTGGAAGCTTGGGACGAGGAACCAAATCTAAGGTATGCAGCGGGGATCGAACATAAACAATCTTTAACGGAGACTTTCCAGTCGAACAGTTTGGCACATTGTTATAAGCAAACTCCGCTTAAGAAATAACAAAATCCCACTGCCTTGGACTTTCTTGACACAAACTCCGCAAAATATTTCCCAATGTACGATTCACTGCCTGTGTTTGACCATCGGTTTGGGGATGACAAGTAGTACTATACTGTAAAGTTGTATCCAGCCGCTTCCAAAGAGACTTCCAAAAATAACTCAGAAACTTGCTATTGCAATTGGAAACTATAGACTTTGGCACACCATGGAGACGAACTACCTTGCGAAAGAATAGTTGAGCAATATTGTTGGCATCATGTGTTTTCCTGCAAGGAATAAAATGCGTCATCTTCGAAAACCTATCAACAATAACAAAAATAGAATCCACACCACGCTGTGTTCGCGGAAGACCGAGAACAAAATCCATGGACAGATCCTCCCAAGGAAATTCTGGAATAGGAAGAGGCGTATATAATCTAGTATTTTGTGCTTGACCCTTCGCAGTTTGACATGTGTAACAACGCTTCACATACCTCTCCACATCTCTTTTCAACTGAGGCCAATAATATCAATATTCGACCATAACGATGTTCTTGTCTCGCCCCAAGTGCCCTCCCAAGCCTCCACCATGAGTTTCTCGAATAATGTGCTCTCGCAAAGACTCGCGAGGAATACAAAGACGATCATCGAAGAATAAAAATCCCTCAAGTAGCAGGTATTTGCTAGATTCTTGAAAACCTGAATTGCACTGTGCCCATGCATCTTTAAAATCCTCATTATCAGCATAAAGCTCTTTCAAATATTCAAAACCAGAAATCTCATTTTTCGCAATGATAGGTAAAGAAGCTCGTCAACTCAACGCATCAGCTACTTTATTTAATTGACCAGATTTGTGCTTAAGAGAAAAGGTAAACTTTTGTATATAAGCAATCCACCTGGCATGCATTTAGTTTGGCTTGGTAGCATTCTGAAGGTACTTGAGAGCTTGGTGATCACTGTTTAACACAAATTCCCGTTGAATCAGATATGGCTCCCAATGGTACAAACTTCGTACTACTGCATACAGCTCTTGCTCATACGTCGTCCACTTCTGTCGAGCATCACTAAGTTTCTCGCTGAAAAAGGCTATGGGTCGGCCTTCTTGAGAAAGAACAGCTCCAATGCCAATACCGAAAGCATCACAATCAACCTCAAACAACTTATCAAAGTCCGACATGGCTAAAACCGATGTTGTGGTCAACCTCTCTTTCAAAACCGCTAAGCTCTGTTCTGCAGCATCAGTCCACACAAATTGCTTATGCTTCATGCAATCTGTGAGTGGGGCAGCAATGGTACTGAAATTCCGCACAAAACGTCTATAAAAAGTTGCCAAACCATGAAAGCTGCGTACGTCGGTAATGGACTTTGGGATTGGCCACTCTCGAATGGCTTTAACCTTAGCCTCATTAACCTTGATCCTTTCGGCACTCACAACATAGCCCAGGAAGATCAAGCTCTCTGTCAAAAAACAGCACTTCTTCAAATTCACATATAAATTGTTCTCATGCAAAACATTGAAAACTTTCCTCAAGTGTTGCATATGCTCTTCTTCATCATGACTATAAAGAAGGATATCATCGAAATAGACAACTACGAACTTTCCAAGAGGCTGGAATACTTGATTCATTAATTGCATGAATGTACTCGGCGCATTAGACAATCCGAATGGCATAACAAGCCACTCATACAACCCTTCTCTTGTCTTGAATGTTGTTTTCCACTCATCACCGGGGCGGATACGAATCTGATGGTAACCACTTTTCAAATCGATCTTTGAAAATACTTTCGAACCATTCAATTTATCCAACATATCATGTAACCTTGGTATAGAAAATCTGTACTTTACCATGATCTTGTTGATGGCTCTACTGTCAATGCACATCCTCCAACTTCCATCTTTCTTCGAAGTTAGCAAGGCTGGCACTGCACACGGACTCATACTCTCTCTGATTAGACCTTTCTGTAGCAAATCATTAACCTGGTCCTGCAAAATCTGAAACTCTTTCGAACTCATTCTGTAATGTGGCAAGTTCGGAAAACTTGCTCCGGGAACAAAATCAATCTCATGCTGGATGTTCCGCATAGGAGGTAACCCTGCTGGCAACTCATCTGGCGCAAGTTCTTGAAACTCGGTAATTAATGGCTTAAGTCGCTCTGGTATCACAATGATAACTTTTTCTTGTTCTTCACCCTTGACCACTAAAGCATAAACCAACTGCGTTTCCTTGACTTTTTTTATAAAATCTGGTATTATAAGGAAAGATTCTGCCATGGTTGGGGAGACTGTTACTCGAATTTCACGCCTCATAGAAGCCAAGACAACTTTTACTTTATCCTTGTAAAAGGTGTAAGTATTCTCCTTTCCCCTATGCACAGTGTTCAAATCAAACTGCCACAGCCTACCCATCAACATATGACAAGCATTCATGTCGACCACATCGCACAAAACCTCATCTCTATAATTTGGCCCAATAGAGAAAGGAATAATACATTGTTCTGTTACTTTTGTTTCATCGACATCTGTGATCCAGCCAATACTATAAGGAGACGGATGTTTCTTTGTTGGAAGATTCAACTTATCAACCATAGTCCTTGACACGATATTTTCACTGCTACCTCCATCAATAATCAAATCACAGACTCGCTGGTTGACGGTATAACGAGTTTTAAAGATATTGTGCCTCTGAACATCCTCTTTCCGTGGTGTGTACATCAAACGCTATACAACAAGCGATACACCCTCATCTTCATGGGTCCATTCTGCTAGATCTTCTTCTTCGAAATTCTCCTCCTCTTGTCTGCTTTCTTCTTCTTGATGCTCAACTACGTTGGCAGTACGTCGCTGGGGACAACGATTAGAATAGTGTCCAACTTCTCCGCAACGGTAACACTTATCACTTCGTGATGGAGCGTAAGGGTCACTCTGTGTTCTTGAACTACTTATACTCGTCTTTGTATGAGTCTGACCTTTCCATGGGGCCTTGTTCTGATTCTGAGAAGCTTGACTCTGACCTGCTTCAGTGACTGCTTTTCCTTTACCCGGCTCGGACTGCTTTTGTACTGGTGAAGGCATGACTGTCCTGGTAAAGGGCTGATTTCGAAAACTCATTCTTCTGGCTAATTGCAATTCGGCCCTTGTTACTAATTGAATGGTATCCAGCAACGTTTAAACCGGTTGCATGTTAACCACATCCTATAGATTTGTACGCAATTCATCCACAAATCGCGCCACCAATTGTCCTTCCGTTTCTGGTAAGTCGTTACGGGAGGAAAGTCACTCGAACTCAGCAGAATACTCATGGACTGATCTGGCACCTTGTTGACATCATTGGTATTGATGGAACAGAATCTGATCATAATTTGGAGGAAGAAAACGTGCTCTCATCAATTGCTTCATTCGGTGCCAAGCCTGAATCTTACTCTTGCCTTGTCGCATCCTAGACAATTGCAATTGCTCCCACCATGCAGAAGCACTGCTTTTCAGTTTGTACGCAACAAGTTTCACCTTCTTCTCTTCTTCGATATCCATGTAATTGAAGAACCGTTTTACTTCATTCAACCAATCCAAAAAATCTTCGATGTTTAACTGCCCATTGAAGGAAGTGAGTTATTGTTGTTTTACCGAACACCCTCTCTGGGCTCCTCGTACATTGCGATCTGCATAAGATCATCATCTGTTGAATCACCATCGTAAACTGGGTTGTTTACAACACGCCTAGGACGAACCCCTAAGCGTCCAGGATTGTTGCCTACCCTTGGTTCACGAACATGCTGGCCGCGAGGCGCAATAGGATCCTCTGTTGTTGCTCTCTCAGCGTTGAGATTCAATCTATTGAGAAGACCAAGAATCTAGTCCAACTGTTGCTGTTGCCTCTCGATTGCACCCCACACAGCTTCATTGTTAGATTTTGGTGAAGTCTCACCGTCGTTGGCCATTGAGACAAGGGAGGACCTCGCTCTGATAGCACTTGACGCAGCGTTGTAATGGAATGAATGACTAGATATCGTTCTAGTAGACAAAGGGGAAGATATCGTTCTTCGGACGGTAATAACTCGAATTCACGAGCAAAGATAAACAACCTTGCGCACAAGGCAAATGGAGAGAACTCTGATTATATTCTTAAAAAAACTCTTTTCTTTTTTTCTATCTTTTTGCCACAGGGCTTACAAACATATTTATACTAACTACTAGATACTCAAACTGTGAATTTCCTAATACAAAAATAAATACTAAAACATTCCCTTAAACTCTTGTACCAAATACAATGTACCAAATACAAAGAACCTAACCTTTAGACCTTGAAGAGTTTGAAAGACATGAATACAATCCAATGCATCAATGAATACAAGGAATGAAATGTATCTAATGTATCCGTTAATTAATTTTCCTTTGAACTTGAACCTATTCTACATCAACTATAGCATTGAGGGCTACGCAGTAGCAGTCGTTGTGAAGTAAAAAGGGTCCATTTCTAAATCTAATTTTTATAATTTAAATTATTTATATTTTAAAATATATCAATTAAAATATATTTGTAAAAAATTAAGTAAATTGAATATCGTTTACTCATTCATCCACTCACATTTATATTTACAAAAATAAAAAATAATTGTGTTTTAAAGTATTAAAATGAATACAAATGTGAGTGGATGAATTGTTAAATGATATCCAATTAACTTCATTTTTTACAAACATATTCTACTTAATACATTCTAAAATATAAACTGTTCAGACTATCAAAATGAACCAATTTCGCTATACAGCAGCATCTCCAATTCCGTTCACTATGATGTAATGTGGGGAACGTATGCTCGTAATCGCATACCATACCTCACTATGATGTAATGTGGGGAACGTATGCTCGTAATCACATAGCATACCATATAATTTTTTTATTTATATTTTTAATTTAGAAAAAAATAAAAATGAAAATTTGTTTAGTGCTTATTTAAAAAATTTAATTAAATAATTTACAAAAAAAAATTAAATATTTTAAACATAAAAAATTACTTTTAAATTTATTTTTAAAAAAATGATTGGGAGTTCTAATAAAAAAACTCTAATAAAAATAAATCCTAATATGATATGATATTTTAATTTAATTTTATTTTATTCTTTATTGCATCATTAAAATTCAATTAAAATTTTAAAATTAAAGAGATATATTTATTTTTAAACAAGCCTTCACTTTCTCCTGCCACCGTCAACCACCACTTTTAACGAGTACTCTTTCACATCTGGCCATCACTTTTGAGTTTTCCCTTTTCACCCTTGATCTTTAGCCCCTCTACTAATTCCTTCTGACCACCCATTTACTTATCGAAAATGATCCAGAGCTCGAAACTCTACGGCTCGAAACGGCTCGAAATTTTTTTTCCCTTTTCAAG